GATGACACAAGGATTTTCTACGGATTGTACAGGGAGTATGTAGGGTTTATAGGGCTAGTAATACAAGGGATTATAATGCGCCACAAGCACCATGAACCAACCTGCAACCTGTAATAGTGATTATAAGGGAACTAACGATTTTGTTAGGGTCCTCTTATTTTCCTATTATAGCACTATTACAAGGTGGGGCCTCTCCAAATTTATACATGTGGCAGGTTGTCAAAAATCATAGGCACCTTTTTCAGTCCTCAGTATGGCCCCTTAATAAATCGCGGGGGCCAGGTTCAGGGTTCAGGTTTAGGGACCATTGTATTGCTAACTCCCCAAATAGAATGACAATTTATATCACCATGGAGAAGCTGACGCCTCATGGAATTCCGGTGCTCCCTCTGTCCTGGAAACCTTGCCCCAACAAATCAAAACAGCGATTGTTTGTGAGTGATAACAAGAAGCAAGCACCATCCTACAGTGGATGCAAGAAATCTTTTACCACTTAAGAGCCCCCGAATGATGTAGGTATTTGCGGGATTTTTCGGGTATGGGCTTTATAAAGTGGCGCAAGATTTTCTCGACCCACTTAGACCCGGATTCCTAATCCAAACCCTCATGCATATGCGGGTTTCCCAAAATTAGGGGTACCTTTTTTGGGGGTCCCCATAATAAGGACTATAGTATATTGGGGTCTATGTTGGGATCCCCTTATTTTGGGAAACTACCATATATCGCTGAGAACTTTTCAGCCCAGGCGCTGCCCCACGAACTCTCTTTGAGCCGCTTCGAAGCAGCTGCCGGTTCGGGCTGGTCCTGGCATGGGCTGAAAATGTAGGTCCTGTTGCATGGGTAGCTATAACTAGGCCTTTTCGTGTGCAGCTATTGGCCCAACGCCCTGAAGCACAGTCTGGGTTTAGGGCTGCTACTTTTCGAGTCCTGTCAGGAGATTCGTGCAGATAGTTTCTGGTGGCGCAGGAATGCCTTTAATTTCACCATTGCGAACACGACTGGCGTGTTGGCTTTTGCCGGCCCGTTGCCCTTACTGCAGATTGCTCTCAAACGTTCTCGTGTTCATCATCCACATCATTGAAACCAGGTTTAAATGGCAAAGCCTTCCCGTTGTCAGTGACGACACTTTCAAAAAAAAAGAGGGTTGTATTTCGTGCTGGAAGGCCTGACATGCAGGTGCTCGCTGTGGCTGCAGGAAGCCGTGCAATACCTTGTATGCTGCATACCATGCAAATTACACTATCATGGGATCCTGAGTAGGGCACAGCTGCCTCCATCCACCGTAGGACCCGGAGACAAGTTTGGATAAAGTTATCAAGCTCAACTTCGGCCACGACTTCGTAATTTGAGGTGGCCGATACACTACCAAACCCTGAAGCCGAAAATTCCGCAAGCACTGAGCTTAGCATGATTTATCCTCCCGTCGCTAGACCTCTAGAAGTGTCGATCCTTAATGCATAAGGCGCAAACATTGTGCAAGATGTTGAAGGCTCAGGTCAGCTTTATAGCGCCGTCCTTCGTGCAGTGGCAAGGTGCGGATACCCTGTGCCCGGCGAGGCGCCTAAAACAAAGAGCCCACCAAAGGGTTCTAAAGATCAGGGCGTAGGGACCCCTGCCAGGGGGCACCAGGATTCTCAAATGCAGTTTACCCAAAACCCTAAACCCGAAACCCTAAACCCTGAACCCTAAACCCTAAACCCATGATTGGTCGTGGTAAGGCTTTTTGCTTAGGAGGCGAGACCCTGGTTGAATGCTCATGCAAAAGCCAAAGCCATGGTCAACCTGATGTCTTTGGGGCTGAGGGCACGTTGCAACACTACTGTTGATACTAGAAATCCTGCATGACATTACTATAGTATAGTACCATAATTCCCAATATATAATATACTTAGGGTCATGCAGGATTTTTAGTATCCACCGTATCAGTAGGTTCCCCCGTGACCCCTTGATATTGAGGATACCCTTTTTCCAAATATCCAGCTTTAATAAGGAGACCCGCAACAAAAAGGGGGAAAATAATACTACTGGGGTACCTAGATCAAGCAGCATCCCGGAACCCTAACCAATACCAGACCCCACACGCTGAACCCCAAACCCGTTGCTCCACACCGTCCAAGAGGCATGCCTGAAAGGTTGGAAGTATGGGTTGTTAACATGGGATACATGAAGGGTTTGGGGCTTCGGGTACTTTACATTTAATGGAGAAGGACCCCAGGATTCAGGGCCCATGCTAGCCTTGCCTGGTACTTATCACCACTCCTGACTGTAGTTCGTGATAATTGTACTTCTTACCCAAAAAGCTGCTTAGGTGATATACTGGGCTTATGAGTATATACCGGGAAAAAGGGGTTATACCCTAAACCCTAAACCCTCAACCCTAAATGACTACCCTGTATTGCCTTGGAAGGATGGATGCTGCCCAGATTCCTGGCGACCTTGCGCTGGCACCGTCCCCAAGGTTGGCGCGCTTGGCATGAAGGGCCTTCTTACAGAGCTGTTTTCCTCATACTAGGGGTATACCGTGCCTCAAATATGGGGGAGTTTAGGGATAAGGGTTTCAGGGTTTAGGGTTTTAGGGTTCAGGGTGTTAGGGTGTTAGGGTTTAGGGGGCCATTGTGTATAAAGGAATGTTCGTTGTTAGGGAGAGGTGCCTTAATACTATTACCTGAACTCCCAAAGTACATACAGTTTTGCGAATCATTGACGAACAAATAGCACGGAGGGAGATTACATAGAGCAAAGTTCAGGAACACAAACGGCCGTGCAATGATTGTAGCGGTTGTAGACACCACAACCATAGTAATTGTGCTCTCCTCCAGTCCGCGATCCAAAACCCTGAGCCCAAGTGACAACCCAAAACCCAAAGCCGCCAAACGCTAAGTCCATAATGCTAAGCCTTTAAACCGCCAATCCAAAGCCAGAGCCTTAAGCCCTCGAGCCTAGCCCTGAGCCTGAATCCTGAACCCAATATGCTGTAGTCTCCTTGGAACCAAATAAACATATTCTCTTTCATAATTCCTTAGGATCATACTATAATCAGAATGAAAACTAATTCCTAAGGAGACCACAGAACAGGTCTAATTGTCAACTATCCGAAACACTACAGCTTAAAGTCTTCATCCGAAGCTCTGAACCTTGAAACCTTCAACTTCAAGCCCATATTTGGGGTTTCTCCAACATTAGGGGGAATCTTGGGTACTGCCCCCACCCAGTAACAGTCTATATTAGGGGTCCTATTCAGGGCTATATGTACCCACAGTATAATTATTACAACTGTTACTGAGGGGGGGCAGTATCCAAGAGGAATCCGTAATCCCTCACCCCCAACCCCTAAGCCCTGGCCTTATAGCTGCGGCCTGGCCCTGGCCTTGAGCGCTTTCAGTGCACATACTGTTGATGGATGAAGCGCTGCCCAGGGAGCCCAATATCCCTTAATTAAGGAATATGGAGGTTATCCAAATTTAGGGGTACCTTTTTGGGGGTCTCCTTTGTAAGGATCATAGCATATTAGGGTCTATCTTGGGGTTCCCTTATTTGGGGAAACTACCATATGGCTTAAATCGTATTCGGGAAACTAGTAACTATTACAATTTAGGCTACATTCCTTAATTAAAGGGTACTGGGTGGGCTCTCTGGGTGTACGACCCCAAGTATACTACTACTGTTTAGGGTTTAGGGGTTAGGGCTCAGGGTTAGGGATCAGGGTTAGGGCTTAAGGGTTTAGAGATTAGGGTTCAGGGATTAGGGCTTAAGGGTTTAGGGATAAGGGTTTAATAGTATGATACCATAATTCATTCCCAAGGTTAGGGTTAGTCATAGCCTGCAGAAATTTCTAGCGCTTTCCATCCCGACTGCTGAGAGACCGTGAAGGTTGAAGATCTGAGCTACTTAAGGTCGTGCTATACTAAACAACCCTGCGTGGCCCTGGCATGGTAGACCATAGTACCACAAATATGGACATATGAGATGTTTAAACCGTGCATCTTGCAATGACTGCCTGGTGCTAAATAGGGGAGTTGGGTTCATGGGTTCGTGGGTACCCATGCCAAGGTGTAAAATAAATGCAGGGATTGGTTTCCCAATTCGCTGCTGAGCAAGAGATGTATTATGGGTCCTCCTGCAGAGTTGTTGAGAGGAACTTTGGGGGTTAATGTTGCACCCGCTTAACCAAAAAATAGAGGTTTGAATACCTAAAACATCTAGTTTTCGTTGCTGATTATTATTCATAGAACAAGGTCAGGTCAGAGCTTAAGGGTGCCAAATTCCTACCTCAAACAATTTTGATTCAGGACACCCTAAATTGTGTGGGGGGGAACCCCCCTACACTAAAGGTGGGTGCAACATTAATTTTCAAGGGGCTTTTTACAAGGTGTATCCAGGGTTGAAGTTGTTGCGGTGTTCGGGGTTGTTCTCAAAGCTCAGAACGCTTGTGTGATTCTATCTGTATCCCTCAACATCCACGCGCACAGCAATCAAGACCTTGGGCCCAAAAACACGCGTTGTGGGGCATGTTCCCTCACCATAATTGATTTGGGGGGCTGTCTAGGGGACCATGGCATTTTTTTCTGGCGGGGCTATGGGACTCTTAGCTTTCTGTCGACCCCTCAACATATGTGGACTTTGTGGAAGGGAATCTTGAAGTGAAGGACCTCGTGCTCGGCGCCCTAAGCACAAATTAAACCCGGTTGGCACAAACACGCCTTGCGGGATCATCAGGTGGGAAACAAACTTCCTGCAGACTACTCACTTGTACTGCATTTTTACCCAAACTTCTACTTCTCACTTAACCTCGCTAAGCAGCTTTCAACCCTGAATTTTCATATTGAAAAAGCCCGAAGCTCAACCCCAAGTCAAAAAGACCCCAATCCCTTCGTCCTGCAGGCGATGATACAATCCAAGCATATGGGGACTTTAAAAACAAGCCGAGGACCTTATCTGCTTACACAAAAAATCTCAGCCACTAGAACACCTAATCGATGTTTGGCGTGCCGCCAGGTGGCTTGCGCTCCGGAGCATCCCGGGAGTCCACAGGCAGAGTCACCGTCACCTCAACAAACAGGGTTCAGGGAGCGTGGGTTTCGAGTTTAAAGATGACTTGGTCCCCATCCCAAACACCCAAGATATTGGCGCAAATCTGTCTTTTGGTGATGCTGGGTGAGAAGCTGTTATTGGTTTCTTTGGCAAGTTCAGGTAGGGTTCAGCAATTACCTACAGCTTAGTGGTAATTAGACGTTCATGTGTACCTATGACACATAAACTGCGGGTAAGTAGTGTTGCCGGCAGGACTTGTGGCCATCCAGGGCTTAAGGATTAGCCGTAAACTCTAAGCCCGGGTGGCAGGTTGTCAACATGATGGTCCCCTTTTGGGTCCCCACTATGGTACGGCCCCTACTATGTAGGGCACCAAGGGATCATAATTCTGACAACCCCTGACATGAGTATCGTATTCTTTGAGGGTTGAACCAAGTAAGATTACATTCTGTATGTCAGATACTATACCCAAAACGAGGTTATAATCTTACTCTAGATTGGGTACTGAATACCATAGTATCCCCCAACAACACCCTACATCCTAAATCCAAAACCCTCAAACGCGTCTTTTTGGGGGTTAGATGAAACAACTCTGAGGCCGGGTTCCTGCGCTGAGCGCACAGCCACCGGTGGAGCTGGTTCTGCTGAGCCTTGCGCGGGAGGCAAGGCTACGAATTTAAGGTTGAGGGTTGAGGGTTGTGAAAGTTTCGGGCTTAGGGTTGAAGGTTTCCTTGATACAAATGAAGACATATTCGTTCTACGGAAGGGGATCTGGACGTCCTATTCAGGGCATTCATAACACAAATAGAGCTGAAGCTATCATCCACCTGCAATCATGTCAAGGATTTGTGATTGGTTTATATAGGCTTTACGGTTTTGGGTTGCATTCACCATTGGGTGGTAAATGCTGTGCACCTCCAAGGATCACCTTCGAATGACCTTGGACACCTTCCATATACTTATATGCGTACACTGTACATACATATACATATGTATGTGTATATATATAGTCTCCCTGTAACCGGTTTAAAGCGCCATCTGTGCGACTACAGGAATCAGGTCTAGGGCCCACCAGTTGGCAAACGCACGCAATCATCCACGTTATGATACTTTGACGTTATGATACTTTGACTTAAAAATTGCACGAGAGCCTTCTATTGTGGTTTGGGCATAATCTGCTTGGCATTGCGGGTTGGGCTCAGTAAAATTTAGGCCTGAAGGTATGAGCCTCAAGTTAAAAACAAGGCTGAATGAAGGATTGGCTTAAGGCTTCAGGCTTAAGCTTGAGGTTTCTGATAACAATATACAGATCCGCTCGTATGAGATATAAAGCACCGCCAAGGCATGATATCTTGAAATTACCATGTTCCCAAGAAAGGCCCAAACAGGGCAGGTACTTGGCCCAGGGCCTAGGTCTTTTGGGGGCATGAGGGAGTAAGGGGTCTGAGGGGAGTCAAAAGCATCCTACCCCGTGGACACATCCCTGCTAAAAGATGCGGTAGTCCAATCCTGAAAAGCTCTACTTACAATACATCCCAATAAATCGCAAACCCAAATCCCTGAACGCTGCATCCCCTACTTGGAGGGGCATGCAACCTAATTCGTATATGCCCTTTTTCCCTGATGATGGGCCCCCAAAAACTGGAGCAACTATGGTTATAATTTGATCAAATAAAATTACAAAATAGATTGTACGTAACATGCCTCGTATGGAGCCTTTTCAATGTCCCTAAACTCAAACACAAAGTGAGGGGTCGCTGCCGCGAAGCAACAGATTCCAGCTGTGGCAGAGGGCTCACAGCCAGAGCGCATGGCAGTAGGAGCAGGTTGCGGAGCGTTGAAAGTAAAGCCTCACCTCCTGGTCCAACGCAGACCAACTCACAAGCCATTTCCACCTTTTCCGGGGAGCCTCACTGGCCTTCCGGCCGAGCAAACCCTCCCAACGCGGCCTGAAGGCTTCAAGCCTCAACAGGCTCTCCAAGTCTTTCTGGCAAGGCCGGTCGGAAGTGCAAACTGGGTCGTTTTTGTCCATTAAACCGCGGCAACACTAATGTACCACCCCAATTTGCTGTCAAGGCCTCAGGGCTGCAAGATGGCCCGCAGCAGGCACCAAGTGTGGCATCCCGCCCCTAGGAAGAGCTGAAATTTCTATCATGAATAGCCTTCCTACCATGACGCTTCTGAAAACGGAGCGCTGACGGAAGTGGACTTGTATAGCACACAACATGAATATGTTGCTCAATGACAGTGGCAGGATGTGTGGTAGCCGTCGTTTTCGCTCAACCCCTTTGCAGACCTTGCGCCTCGTCCTAGTGAGCGTGCTTGACCATTGCTTTTTTCCTCCAACGTCTCTCCTGTCCTTGGTTGCCTTCCGCCACCCGCTTGCTCGAAAGCTTCTACGACGGTGTAATACTTCCGACACATTCCACATTGGATTTACGGTGCTCGCACAACTATTTGGCAATCGGTGCTTCCAATGTCTCATTGCTGATGCAGCATAATGCTTCACGCCATTCCACCCAGGAATCTCCAGAAGTGGGGGTTCAAGAAGAAGGGAATTCCAATGTAAACAGACAGCTTGAGTATAATTGGGGTTTCAACTGGAGGCAGGATGCGCATTAGAAACAAGCAAGGGGTCCTTCACGGCCTCTGGGTCGCTCGCGGGTCGCGGTCGCTGGCTGCAAAACACGCGTTGCAAAAGCAAACTTTGCCTTCCATGGCTGCAAGGCCTTAACTATCATCGCTTGCGTGACACAACTCCTGCACGAAGCCAAAACAGGCAGTCCTGTGCCTGAAACTACTATTAAACTCTGCAAAAGTTGTTGCGTCGTCATGCGGCCATCAGGCACGACCTCCAAGCAGACCTGCGCAACCCTGCGGCAAGCGACAAAAGTGGACGCACGCACAGGTCCTCGCATGTGAAAAACAAGAACCCTGGACCGAAAGCTATAGATTTCAACGAGCTGTAAAGCATCTCAGTTGCCAAGATTGAGGCCTCATTCTGCGATGGAACCATTCCAGCCTCCATAAGTAGTCCGTCAGGCTGCTCACAACTAAGCTTGTGGCATATGCTTACCCTGCTCCAGCCAAAGAGGACTGGGGCTACTCAAGCCCTCTCTGTGAGCCTGTAAACTGGCATGTCCAGCCAATGCGGCGTTCTCGGGGTGTCATCAGGAACTTTACTTTGAATGGCTGGGGCAGGCTTCAAAGCAACGCAACGCGCGGGCAGAGCGTTTTACCCCCGAGCGCGCAACCTTGCCTGTACACCTTACCTCTGTCAAATCCTAGACCTTAAACGGCTCTTGAGGGTCCGAGGGGCTCTCTGTCGGCGCATCTGGCTCCTCTGCTGCCTTTGCACGAAGGCGCCTGCAACGGCGATACCAGGCCTGGCGTGCAAGTCGCAAATCACAGGATTAAGATTCCCTATATAACCCATTATAATAGTTTCCATTTTCTTTTCCATTATCCCTATATAGAAAAGAGCCCTTTGATGTAGGTTTTGTAGAGTTTAAGGTAATAATTGTAGTCAGAAATTAGGAGCCTTCGGAGCTAAGAGCGTGGGGCTTATAGGATTAAGCCTGAGGATTCTTTAGCCTTAGGTTTGTGAGGTTCTCAAAACCATAGCAACTCGTTCAGTGGCAAGTCGTATTTCCGAGTACAAAACGAAGTCTACTCCCAGACACCTTTATTCTCCATGGGGCTCAAGGGAATAGCAGCAGCTGTTGTTCTACGACATTTAGTGTGAACTACGAATTGGGGCTTCCAATGTAGGATTCGTAATTAGGGAAAGCCTTGTTCTTCTTGAAGCTGCTCATACGGGGATTCGGAGAACGCAGGCTCCCAAACTAAAAGTCTGATGTAGCTAACATGTACGAACATGGTGTAGAGTGAGGGCTTGTTAGTGAATCTTACTGTAGCATCCTGAAATCTAACACCCTATGTAGGGACTGCAAACCACAAAGCGTGAAGCCATCCCAAGACCCCGCATCCCTAATCCCTAGACTCCACACATTTTAGGGTTAGGGTTTAGGGTTTTAGATTTAGGGCAGTTTAGGGTGTAGGGCTTCTAGACTTGGTCTCCTGTTTGGTGTTTGGAAACAATGTCTTTAAAGGGCCCGGCGTGTAGGCACAGTTGTGCTTGTGGGACACTGATCGGATGCCTAACCTTGACATCCCGCATGAGGCTGTGCAATAGACCTTAGGTGGACCCCCCTCTCAATAATAGTGACTATGTAATGGTGGCTATATTGGGGTCCTTTTATATTCCTATTATACCACTCTTTCAGGGTGGGGGTTTCCACCTAATATATAGACCCTTAGCTTCAGCAAAGCAGACGACCTGCTTAACCCGTATAAGCCAACTCCCACCTGCGCCCTTAGAGTTTAGGGTCCTTAGGGTTTAGGGTTCACAAGGTATCAGTGGGTAACGGTGGGCTCCATGGCAGACCCAAGTACCAGAGCCTCATCATATGTTCCGCTCTGGGACATCAACTCTGAAAGCTGTAAACCCTAAACCCTTAGCCGCCAAACCCAAAACTCGAAACCTTTAGCCCTACAATCACAACCCTGAGCAAAAAAGCCCTGAATCCAAAAGCTCCAACCGCCAGCCGCAAACAAAAAAGCCAAGCCTCAAACCCCAAACTTTAAGCCTGTAAGCCCAAACATCTACAATCCCATACCTTGAAACATCTACCTTTCAATTTCCATACTCCCCAGTCCTCCCTAGTACCTACCCACTGGGACCCACCCGCTCCAAGACATGAGTAGTGTTTTTTTGGTGGTTGAACCTAGTAAGATAATACTCCTTATATGAAATACTATACCCCAAAAGGAGGATACAATCTTACTCTATATTGGGTACCAGAGCATCCCCAAATTAAATACTACTCACATGGTATTTCAGTGCCTGGATTCTCAATGCGGCCGACTCCTGGCGCCATGCAGACGCAGCGAGCTGCAGCAGCTGCTCCTGGCAGAGCCTCCCGCGGGCTGAGGTTGCTCGGGGTTCCGCATTGAGGGTTTAGGGGGTTTAGGGTTTAGGGTTGACAGTAATTACAGGGGGAAGATCCTGAAGATGTCTTCCAAAGTGAAGGCCGCAGCCACTGCTGCTGTTGCTGCTGTTGCTGCTGTTGCTGCTGCTGCTGCTGCTGCTGCTGGCAACCCCAACCCTAAACCCTTGTTCCTCCTCCTCCTCCTGATCCTCCTCCTCCTGGATGTGTTCATGGATTCGTTTGGCCATCCAAAGCGGAACAAAGAAGGTTGGAACATAAGCAAGAAGTTTGGACTTCGTGGGTTTCAGATGCGTGGTTAGAGGTTTCGGGCTTCAGCGCATGGACTTGTAATGATTTGCTTTTCTTAGGGCCCATTCATACAACTTGGAATCATGGAGCTCTGAAGGACCCAAATCTGAACCCCACTGCCCCTAAACTTGTCAAGACCTCTACTCGAGAGCATCACTAACCCCAACTGCCAGGCAAAAGCCCACAAATGGTGACAGCAGTACATCAGCAGAAGAACAAAACTGCCAAGCCAACAGAAGAGCTAAACCTATCCGTAGGCATGTTGCGAAAGCCTCGCGCGATCTATATTTGTAATATATACCCTATAATCCCCTATATAAGACATTATTATAGTAGTTTCCATTTTCTTTTCCATTATTCCTACATAACGTAAGTATAGCGAGGGGGATGTAACCATAGCCCTATCGTAACTTGAGTTGAGACCTTGGCTTCCTCCAAGCTGAAGATAACAAAACAACCCTGCCTGGGATTACTTTATATAACCCTTATATAGGCCTTATATACCCCATATATATAGCCAGGTAGAACCTATGTTATCCCTCATAAGGTACAAGGGTCCCCATTAGGGTATGCCTGGTCCTCAGGCAAGCTTGAATTGTTGAGGCAGACCAGTCAGCTGCTAGTGCCTGGCTCTTTTTGTCCCGCTTGGCTTGCTGGTGGTTGATAGGCAATGAAGGGCTTAGGGCTTAGTTAAAGTTTAGGGTAGAAAAGAAAACGGAAAGTACCATGTCGTGTTTAGGATTTAGCATGCAGGGTTGGTGACCCTAAACCCTAAACCCTTTGCCTACCATGTAGAGTTTAGGGTTAGAAGGCAATGACGCAATGGAGAAGAAGATGGAAACGACAAAATGCTTGGGGATTATATGCGGGCTCGGATAGGGATCAGTTCCCAATTCCCCAACCAGCAGTAGGTTTACGGGTCGCCCTCGCCGGTCTGAGGCTAGGGTGATACAGCTTGCACCACTGGTCGTGTTAAGGGACACTTTGCAAGAATCTTTAGGTGAATATGGGGTGCGTTAAAACATCTAATAAGGATTGGGCACGACGGGTATGTACAGAAATTGAGAGAATTTGTATTGCGCGGCTCGTGCCAAAGTGGCAAGCTTCTTCTGTTTAGGGGCTTGCACTACGGACTCAATCAGTTTCGGGGGTAGGTGACAACATACTTTGGTGGCGGCATACAAAGCAATTCTACCACTTGCCAACGGGTTTAAGGTTTAGAGTAAAATGCGCTTGCAACCCAAACCTGGAATAGTCCGAGCATACCTTGGATTCCCATACTAGTCCCTTGTCCCATCATACCTACATTCCACACCTCCCCACCTCTAACCTTACAACAGTGCCCCAATATAGAAGATCTCTCTATGGGAATATCTGAAGGTAGGGGTTGGGGGGTGTCTACTATTACGCTGTATGAAGTGATTCGTCTGTATGCAATCCCCACGAAAGCTGGTTCTTCGGATTAACTCACCTATGCTCTCCTCAGCAGCTGAAAGTCTCTGGGCTCCGGAACTTTGGGGTTTGAGGGTTTAGGGTTTAGGGTGTTCAGTAGATTGCTCAAGAGAATTAGACTTAAGTCGACAGAATCTAAGCCCCAAATCTTGAACCCGCATCTCTGAACCCTAAGCCCTAGACCCCAGCCCCCAAATCCGTCGATCCCCAATACCACCCCCCAAAGTGTGCTCCTTCAATTTTCCACTGTGTTATTCATTTGCTTCTTCCCCAAAGTGTGCTCATTCAATTGCCCACTGTGTGTTTCCATTTACTTCTTCCCACTTCACTCCCCTTACTTACTCTGAACCCCAAGAATCATAGCACTTGGTGGATCTTGAGTGGTAGAAGTTTTTCTCCATCCCCTAACCCTAAAACCTAAAACCCCTAAACCCTAAACCCCTAAACCCCTAAACCCCTGAACCCTAAACCCTAAACGCCACACCTAGCCTCCAGCTTCTGCTTGGCCAGGCGTTGCTGCGACAAGTAGGACGCCAACTGCTCACAGCCCAGGAGCCTCCCCGAATGTTTAGGGATTTAGGGACTTAGGGTTTAGGGTTTAGGGTTTAGGGTTTAGGGACTTAGGGTTTAGGGTTTAGGGTTTAGGGGTTTAGGGTTTAGGGGTCTAGGGTTTAGGTTTCAGGGTTTAGGGTTCAGGGTTTAGGGTTTGGGGGTCTAGGGTTTAGGGTTTAGGGCTTGGGGGTCTAGGGTTTAGGGTTTAGGGTTCAGGGTTTATGCG